TTCCAGGATGGCAGAATACCCAAGTGCACTTGAAAACTACGAGAAGGCACTTCAAATCAGACAAAAATCTCTCCCTTCAAATCATCCTGATTTGGCTAGGACTTACAACAACATCGGATTGGTGCATTCCAGAATGGCAGAATATCAAAGAGCACTGGAAAACTACGAGCAGGCACTTCAAATCAGACAAAAATCTCTTCGTTCAAATCATCCTGATTTGGCTACGGTTTACAACAACATCGGTTCTGTGTACTACGACATGGGAGAGTACTCAAGATCACTTGAAAATTACGAGAAAGTGCTTGAAATTGAACAAAAATCTCTTCCTTCAAATCATCCCGATTTGGCAACGACTTACAGCAACATCGGATCGGTATATTACGACACGGGAAAATACTCAAGAGCACTTGAAAACTATGAAAAGGCATATCATATTAGACTAAAATCTCTCTCTTCAACTCATCCCGATTTGGCTATCAGTTACAACAACATCGGGTTGGTGTTTTCCAAGATGGGCCAACAGGCAAGAGCACTTGAAAATTACGAGAAAGCACTTCAAATCGAACAAAATTCTCTCCCAATCGCTCATCCTGATTTGGCTATTACTTACAACAATATTGGTGCTGTGTACTACGATATAGGACAGTACTCAAAAGCACTTGAAAACTACGAGAAAGTACTTCAAATCGAACAAAAATCTCTCCCTGTAGCTCATCCTGATTTGGCAATAACTTACAACAATATCGGATTGGTGCATTACGACATGGGAGAGTACTCAAAAGCACTTGAAAACTACGAGAAAGCACTTGAAATCGAACGAAATTCTCTCCCTTCAAATCATCCCGATTTGGCTACGACTTACAACAACATTGGATTAGTGTATTTCAAGATGGGAGAATACACAAGAGCACTTGAGAACTACGAGAAGGCACTTTCAATTAAGGAAAAGTCTCTTGCTTCAACTCATCCTTCTTTGGGAACGACTTACAGCAATATTGGATCTGTGTATTCTAAGATGGGAGAACACTCAAGAGCACTTGAATACTACGAGAAGACACTTGAAATTAGACAAAAATCTCTCTCTTCGAATCATGCTGATTTGGGTACCACCTACAACAAAATCGGATCGGTGTACTATGACATGGGAGAGTATTCAAGAGCGCTGGAACTTTACGAGAAAGCGCTTGAAATTAGACAACAATCTCTTGCTTCAACTCATTCCGATTTGACTACAAGTTATAAGAACATCGGCTTGGTATATTGGAAGATGGGAGAGTACTCAAGAGCACTTGAGAACTACGAGAAAGTACTTGACGTCGAACAGAAATCTCTCCCCTTAGATCATCCAGATTCGGCTGCGACTTACAACAACATCGGATTTGTGTATTACGACATGGGAGAGTACTCAAGAGCACTTGAAAACTACGATAAAGCACTTGAGATCGAACAAAAATCTCTGTCTTCAAATCATCCCACTGTAGGTACGACTTACAACAACATCGGTTCAGTGTATTGGAAGATGGGAAAATATTCAAGAGCACTTAAGGAGTATGGAAAGGCACTTCAAATTAGACTAAAATGTCTCTCTTCAAATCATCCTGATTTGGCTACGACTTACAAAAACATCGGATTGGTTTACTACGGCACGGGAGAGTACTCAAGAGCGCTTGAAAACTACAATAAAGCACTTGAAATGGAAGAAAAATCCCTCCCTTCGGGTCATCCCGATTTGGCTACGACTTACAATAGCATCGGATTGGTATATTCCAAGATGGGAGAGCACTCAAGAGCTATTGAGATCTACGATGAAGTTCTTCAGATGCAACAAAAATCTCTGCCTTCAAGTCATCCCGATTTGGCAACGACTTACAACAACATCGGTTCGGTTTACTGTAAGATGGGAGAATACTCAAGAGCACTTGAAAAATATGAGAAGACACTCGAAATTAGACGCAAATCTCTTTCTTCAAATCATCCCGATTTGGCTACGACGCATAACGATATCGGATCCGTTTATTCGAAGATGAGAGAGTACTCAAGAGCACTTGAAAGCTACGAGGAAGCGCTTGAAATTAGACAAAAAGCTCTCCCTTCAGCTCATCCCGACTTAGCTACGAGTTACTACAACATCGGATTGGTGTTTTACAACATGGGAGATTACTCAAAAGCGGTTGAAAACTTTGAGAATGCATTTCAAATTAGTCAAAAATCTCTCTGTTCGAGTTATTTCGCTCTGACTACCAGTTACAAGCAAATGGGAGTGGTGTGTTCCAAGATGGCATAGTACTGAGATTCTGTTCGGTGGTTCGATGGGTATGGGATCTAGTATCAGGAATTTGTGGTTTTGAAAAATTATATGAGCTTGAAGTTGTAGCATGCTGAAGTCGATGGAGTTGAGAAAAATGTGTGAAAACTTTCATTATGTTACTGAAAGAACGATTTTTCTGCTGTGCTTTCGTGATGTGTGTCTTTTTCGTTCACGTAGAAATCGCACTGGCGCAGCGTGCAATGATACATGTACCAAATACCCCATATCCATTTTGCACAGGCTGCAGGTTGATTTATGTCCAAATAAAATTGAAGCCTGTCAAGCATGTAATCAGATTATTCATGCAGGTGTTAAGAGTTTGGATGCAATTGCTGTTCATCGATAGAGATATCTTATCGCTGGAATTTGGAGAAAAACAAAAAGGATAGTGAATTGAAGAGGTGACCAGAAGAGTGAGTGTTCTGTTTCTCTTCTATAAGTTCCTGAGCTTTGATTGGATCAAGTGAAAAAGTTTTTCTTATGAGTATAGCCATTTTATGGTGTAGAATTGTATATTTAAACGATTGTTGTGGAGCGAAGTATGTCCATGTTATAGATCTGAAAATCAAGAGGTCGGAAAGTGTCAACGTCTAAATCACATTATTTTAGTTTTGTGTAGCATTTCGGACAGCTGAAACTGTGCCTTCTAATAGAGTTCACTCATGTAGTAGTCCTTGTAGGCACAGTTTTTTTCTATGCAGTGAAACAAGAGTGCTCTTCGATTAGCAAACCCCAATAGGTAAATTACCCTGTCCTTAAAGCACCTTCAAATGACATTATTTACGCCCTGCTACTGCGTGAAGCACCACACAATATGCTACTACTTCAGAGATCTATCCATGGAATAGTCAAGACTCTTGGTTTGAGTATTTAACAAATATTTTGAGCTGCAGATGACATTTCACGAAACTATGAGCATTTTCGTATAATTGACTAAAGCTTGAAATAAAATCTTTTTCTTTCGAAAAGCTGAGCAAAGTAAAGTAGTGTATTGTATACTAAGATTTCGCTTAAAATATTGTTTAATACACAATTCCGATATAAAATTTTACGTTCTTCAAAATGAACCACTCAGGTCTTTTATATGTTGTCGTGGAAGTTGAAAAGCTTGCAAAAATGTCTTTTGCCTTCGAAAGTCAACGCTTTTCAACCTCTTGAGTTTAAGATCTCTGATTTTGTGAAACTTCGGTCTAGAAAAATCGTTTACTTATGGATTTGTAGAGTATTAAAAGACGATTCTATTTAAAAAAAAACGAGTTATTTGATCGAATCAGGGATGAAGAATTTATCGAAGAGATACAAAATACTTCTTTATTTTGACCCACTGGTTCTTTTAGTTTGCATTCTATGAATGTATAAAAAACAGTACAAAACTAATTACAAAGATCAATTGATTCGGAAATCAACTAATAATTTTCTTCTTCTACTATGACAACTGGGTGCTTGCAGTGACAGAGAAATGCCATTAAGGTTTTTTGTGCAAGCTACGACAAAGATTACTTTCTGCATGCAAAACGTGCTTGATTTGAATCATATAATGCGAACAAAGTTAATCATTTTCTTGGACTTCTTTGCAAATATTTCCTCTCATTACTGGTTTTCTTCGTACCTATTTTGATGTCATTTCTCTTTGAACAACCTTTTATACTATCTACTCAATGTCATAAGTATTTCATGGTTTCTTGCATAGCTGAAGAGATGGACTATTTATTTTATTTGTGTTTGAAATAACTCAAGAATAAATGTGGCTAACCTTGGTGTTGGAATCGAGAAAGATGAGTCTGAGAGGATAAATCGACAAAGCTAGTAAATAGTAACTTGCGGTTTTAGGCAATCGATTGTGGATATTCTTAAATATCACTCGACGAGAAAATATAATACTCAGAAGTTCTTCAGCAATTTTTCAGAATAGAGGCTCAATCTAGTATGCAGCACATACTTTTGAAAAAAAAGCACCACGTTTATATCACACAGAATACACGAAGAACAAGTCTTCGAGGTGACAGCTTTACTTGACTAAAAAAAAGAAAACCCATTGCATTGATATTTATAAATACGTCTTTCCTATGAAGCTCCATCATTATAATTAAAATATCACGAAACTGTTCAGTGGCAGTGACCAATAGTTGGACTGTTTATTAGTCAAAATATATCGTCAATGGGCAAAGAGAGATTGATTTGAATATGATGTGGGTTTGAAAAATCTCAACAGACCTAAATCGTTAAATGCTCATAAATAAATAAAACCCTAGCAAAATAGGCGCCTCTGATTATGGTTGATAAAAACAATGCGAGCTCGTGTCTGTTAGCGATGACTTATTTAAGTCATCACTTTCTTTAATGCACATGATCTACGATCACATTTCTTTTTGTGTTTATTTTCTTCTTGAGTCATGGCATGATGAGTCCTGTCAAAAATGTGATATACACATTTTTGACTTCTTTTTCTTATCTATCTAAATATATATATATACATTTCTTTTCAAGGAGAGGAGACTTTTTTCTTTGGTCTCTCTCTCTCTCTCTTTTTGTTGTAAGAACTGGACGTTGTTTTTTTGGTTGAAAAATAAAGTCTGCCTTACACACAACAGATTCTCTCTTAGCCGTACAGACAGGCTAACATTTGGTGCCGTGAACTCCGGTTTCTTTTCGTCTGTACCTCGTTCTTTATAACGTCTTCTTCGCCTGTTTTATGTCGGATCCTGACGCTGATGATCCAGTGCCTCATATACTTCTAACCGTACCTGCTGAATATCAATCAACAATTCCAAAACCGTCTTCTTCACAAAAACATATACAGAAAAGCACAATGGCAACCAAGAATCCACCTCTCTTCGACAGTACCACCAACGAGATAAAATTTAGACAACGAGTAATGGAAATAGTTCCATTTTACAATGGTGATCCTGAAATCCTGTTGGATTGGTTACGAGATGCTGGAGCATTTTTTGCCAAAGAATGTATTCCCGATGCTCATCAAGTTTTTGCTCTACGTTTTCTTCTTACTGAACAGGCACTCGATATCTATAGTGCTCATGAAGATCTAATTCACAATTTCAACGATCTCCGAAAGCTTTTCTTGCATACAGCTGGTAAAGCTCCTTTGAGAACTCTTGCATCACTTGATTCAATATCTAGTTTAACATTCTCTCTGCCTCCGCCAATCGGTAATTCCACACGTCTTGATCCTAATCTCACCACAACCACATCTTTACCACCAACATCCATTACATTTAGTCAATCCGCCGATGATTTAACTCAAAATGAATATCGAAAGTCCATCATTACTCAATTTCAAGAAGATAAATCTCTAAAATTTTCTGGTGAGCATAAACAAGATGTTATTAAATGGCTTGAAAAATTGGAACGCAAGTTTGAACTAGCCGAAATTAGCGATGTTAAAAAGTTTGACTATCTTACTGAACTGCTAGAAAAAGGAGCTTTGACTTGGTTCATTGAACGAAAGACATCACTCAATCGATCGTGGTCAGATTTTGTTGAACAAGTTAAAAAAGTCTATGATTCTCCTAATCGGTCGCAACTTGCATTTCAAAAATTACAGTCTTATAATCAATCCGCCGATCAAGACATTAGAAGTTTTTGTAGCGTGATACGAAAGTTATGTAAAGAATATGATCCAGACATGAGCAAGAAAATGAAACTTGACTTTCTTCTTCGCTCAGTCAATTCGACCTATCGCTCGGAAATATTGAAACTCAAACCCACAGATGCAGACGACTTTGAAAAAACTGCAATAGATGTTGAAAATACTTTTTTTACACTTAAAGCATACGAAACCAATACTCCATCGACCGTGACTACGTATACCTCGTCACCACCATATAACTATAATTATTCTGCTATCCAACAATCACCTGCTTCGAATTACTATCGAGCGCAAAATAACTTTCGATTCAGTCAACGTCCCTCTTCTAACACAACGTCACGTCAATTTCCATCTTCTCCAAAGCATCAACAAGGACGTCAACAATTTTCAAATTACACTTCATCCAAGTCTCCACGACAACAAAATCTCTTCGCTTATACCGCAGCTACTCCTGAAACACAGCAACCACAACAATCGATACCTCCCCTGATGCCTCCATCCCAATTTAAAACTCCACCATCACAAATATTTTATTGTCAATCGTGCAATCAACAAGGACACTCAACTCGTGACTGTCCTTTTTAAAATCGGGGTCAGAGTCTGATGGTTCTGTCTCCAAACAGTCTTCGCTAAATCCATCAAAATCTGCATTACTCTATACTTCTCTCCTTATTAATAATATTCCACTTCAGGTACTTATTGACACTGGTGCGTCTGCTACCTGTATCAGTGAAACAGCTTTGTCTCGTCTACCTCACGTACGTTTCATCGATCAAATGCCTCGCTCCTTCTTACTCGCCGACGGTTTCATTTCACTTCGTGTCCTCGGAAACGTCGAACTCTCCATGCACATTGCAAATGAACTTATCTCATTCTCCGCACTTGTTACCGAAAAACTATGCGTCGATCTCATATTGGGCATCGATTTCCTTTCTTTCTTCGCTGCGAAAATTGACGTGGAGCTTCGTCAGTTTTCAATAAAAACACATGGTCGTCGCATAACTCTCAATATTGATGACAGCCTTCGTTCTAAATTCGTACCTATTCGGTCCGTTCATAACGTTCTTCTGCCGCCAAAATCCAGTGTAAATATTTGTGTTTCTTCTCCTGTGTCCTCACTGTCATCAACGTTTATTCCTACATCGACCTTTTTAGAACATCCACATTTATCAACACAACAGGAGCACGTTCTCGTTGCACGCCACGTGTCTTCCTTATTCGTCACAAATCACTCGACTTTTACGCAAACTATTCCTCAATATTTCTGTTTCGGATATCTAACCATACCTCCACTTCAAAAATCATTTTTCGATCAGGTTTCTGATCTTTGCGAAAAATACAATACGAAAAGAAACAACCAGATTCGATCTTCGACTTTATTCACTCATCAATACCTTCCAAAACGTATTCCTCACCTACTTTCACCTCGAAAATTATTACCGCACCTACAAGCAGCAGTTATTCCTCTCAACACATCTTTCTCTAGACGTATAGCACCAGATCTTATCAAACTTGTCGAAAAAATCGACGACGAAGCCCAACGCACTCAAGTGTCGTCTCTTCTTTCTCGTTTCTCTAACCTATTCGACACTTCTAAACACAACGTTTCTAAGATTCTCATCAAACAAGTTTTCAACACCATTCCCCACTCTCCACCAGCATTTCGACCACATCGTAATCCTCATCATAAGGAAGAGACACAACAGATCATTGATGAGTTTCTTAACGCTGGAATTATTCACGAATCACATTCTCCTTATGCAGCTCCGGCCTTTCTCGTTCCTCGGAAAGGTAATCGACCTGGTCGTTTGGTCGTTGACTACCGCGCTCTCAACAAACTCACTATACCTGATGCGAGTCCTTTGCCTCACATCGAAGATACATTACAAGAACTTGGTCGCGGTTTCAAGTATTTCTCCAAGTTAGATCTTAAAAGTGGTTATCATCAATTTCAAATTCCTAAAGAAGATCAAGAAAAAACTGCATTTGTCGTCTCTTCCGGACACTACGAGTTTTCAGTATTACCTATGGGACCCACAAACGGACCACCATGTTTTCAAAAAACTATGTCAAATCTTCTGAAATCGTGCCGTGACTTCACATGTGTCTATCTTGATGATATTATTATATATTCCAAAACCCTGCAACAACATCTTCATCATTTAACGCTCGTTTTTGAAATATTTACTAACAACAAAATTGTTCTTAGTCCTTCTAAATGTGAGATAGTCGTCACCAAGGTGGAGTTTCTTGGGCATATCATCACTGAAAACAGTCTTACTCCTAACAACGAAGCCATCCAAGCCATAATTGATCTTCGAGAGCCTCGTACACTAAAGGAAGCTAACAAGTTCTTAGGTGGATTGGCTTATTATCGCAAATTTGTACCTCAATTTGCACATATAGCTGCTCCTATTCACAAGGTAACCAATTTAACAAAAGATAAACGACATTTATTCCAGTGGACAGACGAACAGTCAAGAGCTTTTTTCAATTTAAAAAACATGCTCACCAATGAACTCTATCTTCAATTTCCGGTTGATGGCTATCCTCTACATTTGTGTACAGATGCCAGCAGCATTGCCACAGGCGGAGTATTGTTTCAAGAAATTAATGGTGAGCGTCGCAATATTTTCTATCACTCAAAAGTTCTCTCTCCTGTCGAGAGAAAATATTCTGTACCCGAGCAGGAAGCTCTGGCAATATTTCAGTGTCTACAACGAATGCGCACTTATGTTTTAGGACGAACTGTCTATATTCACACTGATCATTGTCCAATTTGTGGACTTTTGAAAAAACCAGTAAATAACCGACGCATCGAACGTGTAGCTAATCTGATTCAAGAATATAATATTGCACAAATGAAACATATTACGGGTAAAAGTAACTGTTTACCAGATTTTCTCTCTCGACCATTTGATGACCCTCTCTTCGATATTCCTTATGGTGTTGAAAGTAAACAGCCACTACCTTCAATTATTTCATCGATCTCCACGTCTCTGCCTTCTCCAAACTGTATTTCACCTATGGTTCTTCGTCCTCGTCATAAACCACCTCCTCCTCCTTCTAACGACGACGATGGCACCGCAAACGACGTCATGAAAGCAGAATTCCCAGCAGATACATTTCATACCGTCGATTCTGCTTCATCTTCTCAAATTATTACTTCTCCATCACCGAACAATTTTAATTGTTACGATTTACAACAAGAACAAAACAAAGATCCTGATATTCAGCATATCATTACTCAGCTAAATAACTCAAATCACGACGTCAATTCATATTCCTCCTTCATCATTAAGAATCAGCTTCTTCACAAACTTATTACATTATCTCCTAATTCACATTTGAAAACTGCAGTTCCTTATCTTCCTACTTCAATGATCAAATCACTTCTGACTTCCATGCACGACGATCCTTATCAAGGTGGTCATTTTTCGACTGATAAAATGTACTCAAAGCTGGTTTCTCGTTACTGGTGGCCTAAAATGCGAGAGACTATTCGACGATACGTTCAAGCATGTATACCCTGTCAACAATACAACTATAGTCGTCATAAAAAGGCTGGTCATCTTCATCCTATTCCTCCCACAGATATTCCATACTCGGTGATCAGTATGGATTTTTGTGGTCCTTTCATTGAGTCTCCTAGGGAGAATAAGTTCGTTCTCGTCATCTCCGACTTATTTACAAGACATGTCACTGCCATTGCAACTCCGAATAACACAGCAGAATTAACGGCTATGACACTTTATCGAGAAATCTTTTGTAAATATGGAGTCTGTTCTACCTTGATTACTGATCAGGGTACACATTTCAACAATCATCTTATGCGTGCTCTAACACATCTCTTTGGTTACAATCATATATACAGTACTGCCTATCACCCACAGACGAACGCTGTTACTGAACGTTTCAATGCGTCAATGAAGATCCAAATATCTAAACTTGAAGACAAACACCATAACAACTGGGACGACTACCTAGATCCTATTATATTTGCATACAATACTTCAAAGCATAAGACTACACGATTTTCACCATTCGAACTACTCTTTGGTCGTTCTCCACATCTACCAATTGATCCTCGTCCACAATTCTACACTTTTGATCGACCAAATACCTGCTTTGAAAATCTCAAAAGAATTCTACATGTTTATCATCAACAAGCTAAGAACAACATCATAAAACAACAAAAATATAATAAAGAACGATATGATAAACACCGACCTGATCCTCATTATCATATTGGCGATCTCGTCTTCACAAAAATCTTCACTGCACGCGGAAAATTAGATCCTCGTTATTCTTCACAACCACATATCATTACCGAAATCCATCATCCTACTTATTCTGTTCTCAACGAAAATACCGGCGTTGTCAAACAATTTCATGTCTCTGATATACGTCCAATTATTCCAGTCTATGAACCTGATTCCGATAATTAGTGATCGGCTCATTAACTAGAACTCAAGTATGATACAAATAAAACTATTATACTTCTCTTTTATTCAATAGAACACCACCCTGGTAAAACTAAAAAACAAATGATACTTCTCTTCTCTCGATCCTATCTACATACCACATTCATTTTCTTGGTCTACGTGCTCGCACAATATACACTTCACTACATAATTTCGCTTATCTTTCTCATTTTCTCTTTATGATTAAAATTATTTTCTTCACTTTACTAATCATGTCCACTGTACTTATTGCTATAATTCTTCTCACTGCGCAATTCGTTCCGGCTGTCGATGCCTTTCTTTTTGGTCAACCTAAATTGGAATGCAAACCCTGTGTTTGTCATCCGGAGTGTCACTGTGAAACAAAATGTGTACAGCAGCAGATTATGAACGAATGTAATCTTGGTACTGATCTTCACAATGCACTTGCTTCACACCACACACAGGCACACCAAACAACTCGATTTATTTTAATTTTCTCGTTAATCGTCAATGTAATTCTTACAATTATATTGTTATTTCGTAAAACCGTCTGCAATTGTTATCGTGCACATCGACTACAAAAACAACAAAAAAAAGCAGCTAAAGAACAAGCAGCTGCTCTTCAACAAACCAACCGCTATGCTATCGCCTTAAAACAAATGCTTCCACCACGTACAGAACAATGTTTATCAGACTCAACCGGTACTCATACCACATCGGATCAACCATTGTTTCAATTGCTTTCCAACCTCAACATTAACAATTCGGTATAAATCAGCTAGTGCCTCTGAAAACACAAAAAAAAAAAAAATATATTCTCTTTTGTCTCTTTTCGCATCAGTTTTTTGTCAAAGAGGGGAGGTGTTAGCGATGACTTATTTAAGTCATCACTTTCTTTAATGCACATGATCTACGATCACATTTCTTTTTGTGTTTATTTTCTTCTTGAGTCATGGCATGATGAGTCCTGTCAAAAATGTGAT